CTGAGCCTCGGGGGCCGGATCCAGGCAAGGGGTCTAGAGTGACTCCTGCTGCTGCAGGCGGGGGCTGGAGTAGCATGAGCTCCCCTCCAAAGCATGCCCACGAAAAGTGCGATTTAAAGATAACTGAGATGGGCCTGGTCCCAAACCCCAGATCTGAATACCCCCCAACGCCTGGCGACACTTCAGATCTGGAGCGCCATGTGGCTCCATTATATAGGTCCCCGCACTGCCTCCTAGTGGCAAGAGACTAGCTATAGGGCAGGGCTACTCAACGCATGGGGTCCATGGCCTGTGGTGAGGTTTGGATTTATGTGGGACTCAACACAGGTGGGATCCTTGGAACATGGCCTCCACTGGGAACACACTCCACAACGGCGAGGTGAGCATGGAGGCGCAAGCGGATGGGCTGGCTGGCTGTATTTCTAGCCCCCAGGGTGGAGGTGCTGGGAGCACTGGGGCATTGTGGGAACTGCTTTGTATTCATGCCTGTCAGTGTGAAAGAAGCTATTTGCATGTCTATGCAACCACACTTAAGTTGCAGCCCTCAGCAGGGGCTGTGTGTAGCATTGTGGCCCCCAGACTTCCAGAGTTGAATAGCCCCTCTATAGGGCAAGAACTCAGGCAGGATGCAGCACCCCTACAGACATTACACAGGAGGAGGAGGAGGGGAGAAAGAAGGTGCCCAGACATCTGCAGAAAGATTTTCTATTGGCTCCAAGTAACCCCCCACCCCACCCCGTTGAGACTTGGGCCGCCCCAGCGGAGCTAACCGGAGGCTCAGGGTTAGACAGGCACCCGGAGCACTGGGACGCGCCAGCCACAGGAAGCGAGGGCTGACGGAAATTACCAATGGTGGTGAGGCGGGGAGGGAAAGGAGAATGACTTAAAAAAAAAAATAGTATGAGCAGCAGGTGAGTCATGGGCCACACGGGCTCCCAGCCAAGCCCTGCCTGGAGAGGTGGAGACGGACCAGCATGGCAGCCTGCTCCCCTCCCACTGAGATTTCAGCTCCATGATTCACAGCAGCCCAGATCGCAGGAAGGGAAGAGGACTAGCTGATAGGGCGGGGGGAAGGGATGAACTATCCATCTTTTGCACGGCCTCCCCCTCCCTGGAAGCCAGCTGCCCCACCCGCAGGTGGCTGTTCAGGCAGGGATGGGCCGGGGAGCAGCAGGGGTTAACGAGGGCGAGAGGTACCACGCTGGGGGCAGCCTGCTGGGAACGGGTTTGCATATCCCATCACAACACCCAGATACGCAAGAGGAGGAGGGAGGCGGAGGCAATAACCTTTCCCCAGCTCTTTAATGATGCTCCAGCCCGGGAGCTGTGGAATGTGAGAGAAGAGAGGGGGCTGCGGGCACATGCTGGCTGGTTGCCAATCGCTCCATGCCTAGCACAGGGGTCCCATTAACCCTCCCCTGCCTCCAGCCGGTCTGCACTGGGCTCTGCAGCCTGGAAGGCACATGCTGGGCAAAGGGAAACGGGGCGGTGGGGGGAAGAGCTCCCCTCCAGGTGACAGAACAGCCGGATGCCTGATGCATTAGACTGGGCGCGTGCTTCCCTTCTGGCTGCCTTGGCCAGCAGTCGGAAGCACGCAGGATGGGACGGGGCCTCGGCCCAAAGTCTGGCCCCCTGTAATCCCCTGCCAGGCAGAGCTCAGCCTCCAAGTGCTGCAGGCCGGCTCAGCCTGCGTGAAACCCCAAAAAGCAGCCCCTTCCCGCTAGGCCCCCGGCATGGTGAGCATGTTACAGATACCCGAGCATGCAACTCGGGCAGTCACGCTGCAGCAGAGGGATCAAGGGCACCTGCAGCTGCTGCTAGGGAAATGGAGAAGAGGGTGAAACAACAGTGTCAGGTGTATTCTTGGTGTGTGTGTCTCTCTCTCATACTGCAGATCAATAACCGACACCTGACAAGACATGCAACAGCACCAGCTTGCTACAGCGGAGGCCAGGACCCGGCCCAAGAAGCAGAGCCAGCGTGATAGCAGCTGAGGACTATGTAACATTCGAGGGGAGCACCAGGGTGTTCCTGGCAGTTTTCGTAGAGACTAGAACCCAGGCCTGGCAGAGGTCGGTGGGAGCTTTGCCACTGTGGGGGTGAATCCTGGCTGAGCTGATGTCACCTCTCCCCCAAGGAGCATACAGGCAGAAGGGGACGCTCGCCCTGCCAAGACAGGGCATGACTCAGATTTACCAGCAGGATTGTCTAGTTTGACTCCTGCACACTGCAAGCCACAGAACCTTCCCCCCGCCTCCCGCCCCGACTGTGTTAGCTCAGAATCTCTGGCTACGTTGCTGGAGTCCATAAATACTGATTTAAAGTAGCTCAGAACCTCTGGCTATGTTGCTGGAGTCCATAAATACTGATTTAAAGGCTTCACGTTCTATTTCCTTGCGTTCCAACCACCAGGTGACCCAGGCAAGAGCCAAGCTCCCCGAGGATCTCTGACAATCTGTCCTAGGGAGATTCTATTCTGACCCCATGTATGGCCAGCAGCGGAGACAAGTCAGCTAAAAGATGTTCAAGCACTTGGGTGGATCTCAATGGCCCAACGGATGTGGCGACAGATACCATGACAAATTCAAATTATTATCCTACGTGGTTTCTAAAGATCTGCCAGAGCAGGAACTGTAAGTCAGCCTTGCTGTGATAGCCACAGATCCAGGTTGCAACAGAAACAACCTACGACAGCTTCCAACCTGCTACTGCTTTACATACCACACCCCTTTCAGCTCTTCTGACGGCTGGGATGCCACTAGCATTGCTAAGGCGGAATGGGAACCCCATTAGGTTTTGATCCAGATTTGGGAGGCAGCCTTCCTAGGGCTAGAGCATCGGATTGGATTCTGTTCCTGGCTCAGACACTTACTGGGTCACTTTGGCAAGCCCATGTCCCTCCATGTCTCCGTTTCCCCATCTGTAAAATGGGGAAACTGATATTGATCCCCTCCCTTTGTAAAGTACTTGGGGATCCACTGACGGAGAACTCTACAAGAGCTGAGATTTATTATTTCGCAGAGCCAGATCATCATTGCAATAGCTGGGTGATGCTCTTATTGCAAGCAACCCAGGAATGCTCAGGGCAAGATTATTCCTCTTTGGGTAAACCCCTAGACCTTGCTGCCAGGCACAGCCGCAGTTCATAGGCTCTACCCCCGCCCATGGCCCCAAGTTATTATTTAGAAAGAAATAAACAAGATCCTCTGACACAGTTCGGCCCAAACAAAAGCTAATTCCTTACAAGTGTTCTGAAGCAATACTTTTTGCAAACAGAAGAACACAAAGGGGCCAGTTTTATATTAATTTAGTAGCAAAACAATCCTTAAAAAAAAAATCTTTGAAATTGGACTCCACTGGTCTCTGTCGTTTCCAAAATTCATATTTAATTTAAAGTGATGCACATGCAAAACGTCCCTTCGTAAGGGTGGCAAATACTCACTCCTCAGCTGTCATATCTACCTGCAAAAACCAGTTTATTTAGTCCCTACGTAAATACTCGCTCCTCAGCTGTCATATCTACCTGCAAAAACCAGTTTATTTACTTTGCATTCCTGTTAGCCCTGCAGTGCCTAGAAGGGTGAGCCGGATGCGAGCGTGACTCATGCATCAACACCAAAATTGCTAACTAAGCAGCTACTGCAAAACTCTGTTGCGATCTGTAATCCGGGGAGAACCTAGCTGTATATTCACACCCCAGGAAGTTTATAAGCAGCTGGCAGTTAAGGGGAGGGAGGTATTTTTCCCCGTGTGCTGAGCATTTAGCTGGAGAGGGAGGGGGAAAGTCCCCAGGTATTTTTCCCCGTGTGCTGAGCATTTAGCTGGCATATGGACAGTACAAACATGGAAAACCACAATGCCATTTTTTAATAGAGGGAATTTCAAGATAACCAGACTGAAATGTGCCTAAAAGATTTAAGGCCAGACGGGACCATTATAATCATAGAACACTAGACCTGGAAGGAACCCCGAGAGGTCATCAAGTCCAGTCCCCTGCCCTCATGGCAGGACCAAGCACCATCTAGATCATCCCTGATAGATGTCTGTTCAGCCTGCTCTTCAATATCTCCAGTGATGGAGATTCCACAACTTTTCCTGGCAATTTATCCCAACGTTTAACCACCCTGGAAGGTAGGAAGTTTTTCCTTATGTCCAACCTAAACCGCCCTTGCTGCAATTTAAGCCCATTGCTCATCACATCGTTTGCAGAGCAGGTCCTCCCCAGGGATTCCTAGCCTCCCTCCTTCAGAAAGTCACCCACGTCCTGGACTCTTTGGTTTTATTGGTCACCAGGATGGACGTGGCAAGTTGAAATACGTGCCAGAGAGTTTAAAGTGCCACGTGTGATGTAGTGTGGGTACCTTGCTGGTTGCTAGGCTGGGGCTGTGGGTGACCCCCACTGGCTGCTGTCTGTACCACGGCCCAGCAGAGTAGCTGATGGGACAGGGAGGGAACCTGTTCGACTGGTTACCTCCCAGGGAGA